AGAATAAGAACTGCTGATGGTGCGACGTAACTTTTAACATCATCTTTATTCATCATAAGCACTACCTGTAACCATTCAAGGACTTTTCCTGGTCCAATAGCTGTTTGCCAACTGGAGCTGATTATACAATTTAAAAAAAAGCTCATTTCCTTTGAACCATGTTTATGCAGACAGCATACTCAAAAAGGATTAAATAGTAAATACAGCAGCATGATGATATTCAAGTATGAAGGGATTTTAAAGTTTGTAACCAAAATAATTTTTAATAGTTCATAGATCTTTTTTAAACTTTATTAAATGATTTCAAGATTTGAAAAGGCCCTTGGTTTCAACATTTCAATCCCCTTGCATTAAAATGCCTTTTACTGTCATTGGTGGCATCTGGTATTAATAAAAACCTTAAATGTCCTTGGGAAGAAATCGCTCTGCTATTGAAATTTTTGAAGCTGAAATAGGAAAAATTAAGAGATAAAACTTGGTAAAAATAAACAACATGAAATTAGCATCTGAGTTGACCCAGAGCAAACTATGGTGACTGTTGTGGTTACATGAATGAAGTTATCCTCCTAAAAAATCAACTAGAAATTATTTGCAAGCAATGAGTTTGACTGAAACAGAACATTATCGACAATAAACATTTCTATTCCTCCACACTGGATGTATCATGCTTTGTTCTGTATGTACATGTACAGCGTCCTCTTGGAAATAAATGTCATAACAAAAGGTTCTCTTCTGATGAAATAAATAAATAAAGTAGATGAAATTGTGACAAACGAACAGACTTTTTAAGTCAATGAAAGTATTTCTGTAACCCCTCTATAAATTTATAAACCTTAAAGTTTTTCTATTAACATCTACTGTGAGCAGTAGATACTGAAGGTGTGATAAAGTCACTGACTGATCTCTAATAAAGCAGCACTAATTTGATTTGGGCCATTTGATTCTGATCAGAATTCTGGCTCCAGTTCCCAGAATTCTGCAGAATTCTGGCTCCAGTTCCCAGAATTCTGCAGAATTCTGGCTCCAGTTCCTGAATTCTAGAGAAATTCTGCAGAATTGGTTTGATCCCTAAAGGGTCCTTGATGGCTGCCACGTGTTTCTTACATCGTTTGAACCTCAGCACATCTAGATTCACGGTTGCTGAGATATGGGAATTAGTTCGGAATAAAACAGCGAGTCCGCGATTAAACTGGAGGCTGTTAAAATAATTAGTAATGTTCAATCAACAGTTCATGTTTTCACCAAATGTACGTCATTCTCCCGCTATAAATTTAAACATCAAAATGTACAGTAAACCCATTCTCCTGCAATAAATTTTAACGTCGAAATACACAGAAACGCTATCCTCATGCTATTATATATACTTAGATGAAATTGAAATTTACAGTGACACGATTCTCTGCTAGAACTTTAAACATCAAAATGTTAAGCTACACAATTCTCCTGCTATAAATTTAAACATTAAAATATACAGTAACAAAATTTTCCTGCTATAGATTTAAACATTGAGATCCACAGTAACATCATTTTCCTGCTATAGATTTGAATATTGAAATCTACAGTAACATCATTCTCCTGCTATAGATTTACCTGCTATAGATTCTCCTGCTATAGATTTAAACATTTAAAACTACAGTAACATCATTCTCCTGTTATAGATTTAAACATTGAAATCTACAGTAACATCATTTTCCTGCTATAGATTCTCCTGTTATAGATTTAAACATTGAAATCTACAGTAACATCATCCTCCTGTTATAGATTTTCACATTGAAATCTACAGTAACATCATTTTTTTGCTATAGATTCACCTGGTATTGATTCTCCTGCTATAGATTTAAACATTGAAATCTACAGTAACATCATTCTCCTGCTATAGATTCTCTTGTTATAGATTCTCCTGCTACAGATTTAAACATTTAAAACTACAGTAACATCATTCTCCTGTTATAGATTTAAACATTGAAATCTACAGTAACATCATTTTCCTGCTATAGATTCTCCTGTTATAGATTTAAACATTGAAATCTACAGTAACATCATCCTCCCGTTATAGATTTAAACATTGGAATCTACAGTAACATCATTTTTTTGCTATAGATTCACCTGGTATTGATTCTCCTGCTATAGATTTAAACATTGAAATCTACAGTAACATCATTCTCCTGCTATAGATTCTCTTGTTATAGATTCTCCTGCTACAGATTTAAACATTGAAATCTACAGTAACATCATTTTCTTGCTATAGATTCGCCTGCTATAGATTCTCCCGTTATAGATTTAAACATTGAAATCTACAGTAACATCATTTTCTTGCTATAGATACGCCTCCTATAGATTCTCCCGTTATAGATTTAAACATTGAAATCTACAGTAACATCATTTTCTTGCTATAGATTCGCCTGCTGTAGATTCTCCCGTTATAGATTTAAACATTGAAATCTACAGTAACATCATTTTCTTGCTATACATTCGCCTGGTATTGATTCTCCTGTTATAGATTTAAACATTGAAATCTACAGTAACATCATTTTCTTGCTATAGATTCGCCTGGTATTGATTCTCCTGTTATAGATTTAAACATTGAAATCTACAGTAACATCATCCTCCTGTTATAGATTCTCCTGCTATAGATTCTCCTGCTATAGATTCTCCTGTTATAGGTTTACACATTGAAATCTACAGTAACATCATTTTCCTGCTATAGATTCTCTTGCTATAGATTCTCCTGTTATAGATTTAAAAATTCAAATGCACAGTAACAATATTCACCTGCTATAGATGAAAACATCGAAATCCACAGTAACAAAATTCACCTGCTATTGATGAAAACATCAAAATGCACAGTAACATCACTTTTCTGCTATAGATTAAAAAAAAAATTAAATGTACAGTAACATCATTCACCTGTTATAGGTGAAAACATCGAAAGGTACAGTAATAACTTTCTCCTTCTATCATGCTAGGTTTAAACATCGGAATGTACAGTAACACAAAGGCATAGTAACAACAATCTACTTCTATAGATGAAAACGTCAACAATGCATTAAACTCAAGCGCGGTGTGGCGTAGATTTTGGGACGTAGTTTACGTAAGCCATGCAAAAATGGAAATCTGACTCATCTTTCCTCATTTTATACAGACTAGTTAAAAGGTAATGCGCACAGTCAAAATTACAGTGAAAAATGTATAGGGAAGGTGCACGATTATATCTATTTATTTGGATTTGCCACAAGAAATATACAAGTGGAAGGGAGGGTAAAACAGGTAACCTTTGCATGTTACCCTCTCAGACAATACCACACAAAACAATATGAATACAAAATCAGAAACAAAATTATGCACACTGAAACATAAAAAGTGCCTGAACCTAATAGTGGTTAACCAGCCGATGTACTGATAAGAACAAAGCCCACTTTAGAGTTTGTGATAGCAAATTTTTGTGAAAAACACAGAATCATCATAGCAACATCCTTTCTGACGACACTGATCTGGAGTGATGCCACCATAGCCGCATTCCCTCCTCACGGTGGGGTCCACTTGGCAGTCTTTCCCATAATGTAGATAATCTTTAATAAATGAATTAAGTTTATTTACAAGTTTCAAGATGGAAAACAGTCATTTGCTAGACACATTGGAAACGTATTTGTGACAAGGACAAAGGATAATCTAGAGTTCCCTGATCTCATACCTTCGCCAAATGATGTTGATTTTTATGACTGACAAATTATACTATTTATAGATTATTCCCCCTTATTTTCATGCATATGAATAATATTGATTTAGTTTATCATATTCTCAACCAAAAGACAGTCTTATATTAAGAAACAATGCCATTCTAGGAATCCCCTTATAAATTATTCAAATGAAGTCCCGATTTAAATACATAATGTTTCATGATGTTTACCTTCAATAAACTTTAAAATACCACAAGTATGAAATTCCAGCCAGTTACCATTACAGAACTATAATATTTTCTTTATAATTTTTCAAATTAAGTCTTCATTTACATAATCAATATCTGCCTGTGTGTCTTTTCTCAATTACCAATGTCACAGGCGTCAATAGTTCTGGAATGCAGCTGATTTTCACAATAAATTATGCAAATTCCACCCACATTTGCATAATTATCACATAATTACATCAAGCATCACGTAACCTATCTGCATACCAAAAAAAAATAAACGATGATCCGTCAACCGGTTCTTGAGTTATCCTCTTTTGAATATTCTCAAACAGATAGCCCTGCAGTTCCAGAGCAAGTTGCTAGGGGGCCTAAACTCACGTCACTTCTTCCCCAGCATAAGAGCTAACGGTCATCTAAATTAAGTCACCCTAGCATGTCTAGATCATGAGATATCAAAACCGGAAGTTTAAGTGCAGTGCCATAACAAGCAGCTAATTTGGCCCAAAATCTAATCATATTGAGGTCTCATCAAGACCTAGTTACCTACCAAGTATAAAAAAAATCCATTTAAGCCTTCTCAAGTTATTGTGTCTACAGATGGACACATAAATACATACAAGAACGCTTCTGAAAACATTACCTTCTTGGCGAAGGTAATAACTGTAAGTTACAATTTACTAATTAAAAAAACAGAGATGATGACAAATGACATGTCTAGTACTAGGCTAAATGTATATCTATTCAAGCTGGGTTGGCTCTTTTTACGTAAGCAAGGCCAAGGGAAGACAAAAAATTCCCACTTGTTAAAATAATTTGAGAGTTGTTCAAAGGGGAGTAGCTTTTCGTTCATCCTAGAATGTGGGAAAGTTTGCGTTCCGGTACTCTCCAAGCATTACCAACAGTAGCGACAGAAAAAAGGGGCTTATATAGAAAGGTAGCGATCTTTATTAAACCAAACTGTCCTTGGAGAGTAGGTGCTGGTGTCACAGCGATCTCACTAGGGAATTCGTGACACCGGCTCTTGTTGGCTTCTTTAAACAATTCAGTTCTTTGGTCGTGGTTAGAGAAATAACAATGTTGTTGTTAAAATTACCTTCAGGCGTAGCGATGTGGCAAAGATACCAGCATGCAGGGGCTTTATCTCGAGCGTTATAACGTAATCCGGCATAGATGATGGGCAGGGGGTTTGGGTCTTTGTACTCCAAGAACGGCTGAGTTTCATTCTCCCTCCCAACAGCAATGGTTCCATCCGAAGACCACGTAATCCAGAACATTCTGAACTCTGTCGGGGAGACGAAGTCTATGGACAAAAACAAAAGAGGATAAACATGGTACAATCAAACTAGTGTTAAAACACTTCATATATATTCGCCATATGATACATTTCACAACTATTTTTAAAGTTTTTAATGATTATGTAAATAGTGTTAACCTCAAACACGTGCCAGCATACTAAAGCTTCATGAAGCTTCATCATTGCCCTCTGGAGTTCTGGAGTTCACACACACACACACACACACACACACACACACACACACACACACACACACACACACACACACACACATACACACATACACACACAGACACATACATACACACGCAGATGCACACACACACACACACACACAAACACACAATCACGCACACACACACACACATGCACACACACACACACACACACACACACACACACACACACACACACACACACACACACATACACACACACACACACATACATACACACGCAGATGCACACACACACACACACACACAAACACACAATCACGCACACACACACACACATGCACACACACACACACAAACACACAAAAACACACACACGCACATACACAAACACATGCACACACACACAAACACACACAAACAGATAGGGGGAGATATTGACACACACACACAAACACACACACATAGAGAGAGAGGGGGGATATTGACACACACATACACACAGATACACACACACACACACACACAGATACACACAGATACACACATACACACACACACTCATACAAACACAGAGAGAGAGGGGGATTTTGACACATATACAGATACACACACACACACACACACTACACACACACACACACACACAGAAACAAATAAAACCAACAGATACGTACACACACACACACACACACTCACTCACATACACAAACACTAACAGAGAGAGGGGAGAGATATTGACACATACACAAAAATACACACACACACAAATGCACAAACACAAACACACACAAACATACGTACACACCCTGACAGACGCTACACACAAATACTTACTAAATGTCTCGGCCGTTGTGAAGAGGATATCGCTCTTGCTGCGGCATATGGCAGACTTTGTGTTTTTCATGCCACCGATAAGAATTTCATACATGTCGTCCAGCTTTTTTTTCTTGTATGACAACGCCACAATGACGTCACTTGTGGCTTTCACGTCAAACATGAAGCGGGATCCTGTCAATGGCTTTTCAGTCCAGTGGTACCCGCTCCTTGATTTTGTGCGTATTGGAGTTTGGCAAACTGCAACAAATATATTCTATTGTCATCGTTTGTTGGTTTATTTAAGGAATCTCCAATTAGTGACATATAACACAGCAATACTCTTCCTAGAGTCACTATTTACACCATTATCGGGATGACTATACTAAATTAACAGTTTCTGGTGTTGGTAAAAGTCTTTCTCTAGGATAAAGTGTAGTTCGCGGGCCAAATGTTAGCATTTTCCGACGCAGGATAATCTTAGCATTAGATTTGCATTTCCCATGTATTTTGCTGAAATACGACATATTCTCCTAAAATACGACGTATATGTTGTAGGTTACTGAAAAACTGCTGAAATACATGTTGTTACATATACATATTGTTGAACGGAAAATAGGTCATCGGACCACCGTACGTTCGTCGGTTGGAAAATGCTAACATTTGGGCCGCGAACTACACTTTAGCTTTTCTCTGTTACGTACCGATGCTGCAGTTCTTTCCGTAAAACGGAGGGGGGCAAGCACAGTCAAATCCGCCCTCATGGTCCAGACATGTCCCTCCGTTCGCACAAGGGTTTGGCTCGCAGTCACCAACATCTGTGGAAACAAGCGAGAGAATGAATCCGCTTCCATATATAAGATATCAACATGTACACAAGAAAGCAGTAGAACAGTGTAATAAAGTCTCTACCGGATTAGAACTTTCAGGTTAATGACATAGACCTACTTTTGCTGCAGCCTAGAATCTCCACCCTCATGCCGATATGCTGCTGCCACGACTGAACGACGAAACGCACATAACGGGCATAAATGGGGTAGTCCAGTAGATTGATTACAGGGGTGTTCGCGTCAGTGTTGCTTTTAAAAACCTGCAAGGTTAACGGATAATGTAGATAAAGGTAGATTTGTACCCAGCAATTTCTGTATCATTTGTCATTCTCAACAAGGAACAAGAAATTATAAGTAAACCTTTGCTCTCGGCTCATGTTTGTTACATATACCGCACTAATCAAGCTTCCTGGAGCAATAATACATATGTAATTACGACATTTTACATTGAATTGCATTACACATTGCCAAAATTATTCATATATTATCATAACATGGTAATTCTAAAGCAAATGATACGATCTGGAGACCTGTAAAAACGGGAATGGAAAGGTTGGAGTAAAGAGAAGAATTGATACCTGGCTAGATAATTTTAGTTTGATGCTGGTTTGATATATTTTTCTGATATAGTCAACAAACAAATTTTAAAGTAAAGTGATCTATGGTGTCTAAGGCACCTTTATGAAGCCATCACTGTCTGCATATGTCATCCAGGTTGTCCGGTCTGCACTGTACCGCATTTTGTAGGATCCAACCCAATAGTCTTCACCACTGCCCTGGAGGATGGTCCCTGTGATGAGATTCATTCCTCCCAAATCCACCTGAAGGCAAAATTGCTATTCGTTACTGCTCGCTCTTGAAGAGCATATCACATACTGACGAATTGAAAAAGTTAGATACTCTTTGAAAATGTTATGCATGAAAATTCTTATATCAACAACAGGCTTTGACCCAAATTCAGAACTAGCAGAACGCCAACCTGCAGCCATTCTCCAACGATGTTGTTTCCTGCTGCCCATGTACCTGAACCGGCACCTCCGATCAACCGTACGCGTGCGCGGTAGGGCTCGTAATGAGGACCGTGTTCCCAATATGAGGATGCAGTGATGCGGTCATCAGGTATGACATGGGATATCATCCCAAATGGTTTACTACAGGCTGGAAAACGAGAAAAAATATCTTAAATGCGTTATATAAATGAATGAATGAATGGATGAATGAATGAGTGAATGAATGAATGTGAATTTTATTAACGTGTCCTGTGACTTATGTCACCCAGCCCATATGGCCTTATAAGACACCAAAACATAAAACATTAATATAAACATGGGTACAGAAACCATATAAACATAAATTCAAGTCTGATTCAAAAGTTCAGTTATATATTTGAATTCAAATACCAATGAGGGGTAAAATCAAATGTATTTAACCCCAATGGAAATACAAATGCCATCCACGTGCAAATTTGATAATGTTTCTGACATTTACGTATACAGGACGTGACGATAGACAGACAAAAAGTTGTAATCTACACTGTACACTACCTTGAAGTTATTGATCATTTTCAGGTCTCATATAGATCTACCCACCTACCAGATATCAGGACAATCCCTCAAAAGCCATCTCGAGTTATTTTGTTTACTGACAAACAGACACCCAGACATACACACACTCAAACGCAACCGAAAACATAACCTTACTGCCGAAGGTAATAAACACATATACTAACCTGTTAAACAGCGGTATTTAGCCTGTAAGGTCTTTCCGTAACCATAAGCGGGGTCACCAAACACACGGATGCTCGCCCTTACGCTGCAGCGCTGTAAGCCCTGACAGGCGTTCCACATGATCAGCAGACTTTTCTTCGCGCGGCGGTTTTTGTGTCGAAAGACGGCTTCATCGATCACAAGGGACTGTCCCACCGGGCAAGACAGCCGCAAGGTGTGGTCCTCACGGACGGTTTCTAGAGATTTAATGTCAATAATTGTAATTTCTCTCTTACAGAGAAAAACACACACACACACACACACACACACACACACACACACACACACACACACACACACACACACAACTCTCCCTCTCTCTCTATCTCTCTCTCTATCTATCTATCTATCTATCTATCTGTCTTTCTGCTGATAGCTCTGACTGACATGACATGCACGTGAGTCTTACCTGTTTTGTACTTTGTACATTTTTGCCTTGTGGTCATCTGGTAAGCTTGCTGTACAGTTGTGACAACGGGCTGCACCGTTGTTCCCTTTGACAGCACAGTTGGGGCATCTGACAGCACAGTTGGCACATCTGTCAAACAAGCCGCGATATAATTATTAAAAAAACGTTCTAATTATGGAGTCCCGCCCATAAATACCAAACGCTTAACCCAACTGTCTTCATACTTTTTATGGTAACATATTAGGTGGTAATGAATATGGGGAAAATATTAATGAGTCCCTTGGGAATAGTCAAATTATACATAATTATACTATAATTATACTCCCACAGCGAAAAGGGAAGATGCCTGCAGATTTTTGTTACAAACGGGATAGTTTTGTATCCTGGAATGCAGTGACATTTATCTCAAATGTTTGATTACAAAGTTTTGGGTGTGGAGACATCTGAGTGTGCGGGTACAAGCAGATTGATCTGTGTGGAATTTTAGAAAGGAGAGTCTACGGGAATTTATGACAGTCTACTATCATCAAAATACATGTACAAATGACACCCAGTCTACACCCTGACTTGTGCTAGAATTTTTTTGCCAGAAAGTTTTGTACAGTTGATGCAGCAGTTAAAAAAAAGGAGCATGTGTTAATTGAAAATGTGCAAAACATTACACTTTTGAAAGTTAAAAAACTGTAATTTACAGAAGATACACTTAGGTAACATTTTTTTACGCATTTGTGTACTTATTACTTAGTATAGAATACACAAGCTGCTAGAGATATTATCAAACTCAGTTGGTGTAAGGCGTCCCACGGTGTCAGTTTACTGATTTTTCAGGTCTTTTCGGAAAAATGCCATAACTCAGCCGTAGCTGGTCAGAAATGGTTCAAACTTAGGGGAAAGGCAAAATACAACTTGATGGTTTTAAAAATATTTATGTCATGTTGTTATATTTCTTAGATTTTCATATTTCTATGTCTGATATAATGTATAATTCTTTAACGAGAAACGTAAATCGAAGAACTATTCCCAACACCAGAGACATACGCTTTTTGAACGGTACATTCTTACATCTGTCAACATCTCGAAACTGTTTTGGTATATTCAAAATATTATTCCTGCTTTGTATGAAATATGTTTTGGTCCCTTTCAATGCCATAATTTAGAATAACCGTGTCTTCCTTGCCCTATATTAAAACAGTGATCATGGTAAGCACGATGATTTGAACAGGTTTTGGTAGTTCAGTACATTACCAACCATTCCACTTCGAATTTGGTGTTCCCTGAGCATATGGCTATAGGTCCTCAAAACGCTTTAAAGTTAAGATTATGAATCTTTGCCTTCTCAGCAAATTCTACCTGTCAATCAAGTTGGTAAGCCAATCAGTCATAAATTTTGCACCTCTAAGAGACGTAATTATCTGTAATTTGCACTTGCCTCAAGACAAAAGGTTGGCAGTCTTTTGTTATGCGCAGTCTAATTGTTCACTACAGCTAGGCCCAGCTTTCCTTGTTAATTCAATTTCCAGCAAGAGGGGTCTTAAAGGAAAATGTTCTACAGTCAGTAACAAATTGACAACGGTTTTATACGGGTCATAGCCTGGGTGCCAGACTGTTGACAGGGCCGCTATATGGAGGCTACCTTCTCGGTCCAAGCATGGTCCAATGGGCTAACCTTTTTCCAGAAGAAAATCCGTTCACAGGGTCTAACCAAGGAGGTACATTTGTAATATAGGGCTAGCCTATGTATTGACCCTGGGAACTGCCTGGCATCTTGTTTGAACGGGTCAATACTGGGCGAATTTACAGACTGAGATCAGCTTAACTGGAAAAAGTTGAGAGTAACTCTATTAATACTGCATGCTCCATCCAAGGTGGTTATAAGGCACCTTATAATAACCTTTTTCTGTTCCAAACAATTTCTAACATCCTGTCCACAGACTAATGTTTACAAAAGTTTTAAATAGACGGCCACAGCCCAACAGCAGCTCCAGACACCTTTGGTTTGGGTAGATCGGGAGCCCATGTCCTAAGCTTTTTGTGACAAGGGCATTTGATAATACCGTGGCTCGTTCTCCTTTTCCCATTCTTTATTAATTCTTATATCCATGACCCTTCCTAAAAGGACCCTTTGTAGGTCATGCTGGAGGTAACTTACGTATAGCTTTTTTGTGGCCAGATTTAGATCAGAGTTACAGCAAGGAGCGTCAATTAGTTATTTTGTCTGTGATATGTATGCAATTCAGCCTGACTCTTGATCAGCCTTGTTAACAAAAGAGGTAACAACAGAGAGGCTCGACAGGATGGAATAAGCGCGCATCAAATGCTGAATGGCAGGCTGGACAGAGGCAGGGGGTTATCACTCAAACTGTTGCATATTTACAAGCATTCAGGCTGCAGTTAGTCCATTACAATATTACAGTAGCGTATTATTATCTTAAAATGACATCTTTGCTGGGGGTAACCGAGGGACCCATTACATCAACAGAGAATGTCATATTATCTTATTACTACTTTATAACCACTATGCTATATATATATATATATATATATATATATATATATATATATATATATATATATATGTGTGTGTGTGTGTGTGTGTGTGTGTGTGTGTGTGTGTGTGTGTGTTATATTATAGTGTTAATGACTCACCTTATCCTCGTTGTATGTTGTGATAATCCCTGGTCAGGTGCAATAACCACAAAATAATAAGGTGGTTATCGCACCTGACCAGGGATAATCTCACAATATACACATAGGATAATGCTATATGATAAGCGTTATTATCATATATTATCATATAGCCTATCCAACTGACACCTCCAGATCCACCTGATCTAAAAATAGTCTTTTTCTTAAAATTTCATTTATTATACTT